ATACCAACAAAGGAAATTCTGTCTGGGGGGTTTTGGCTTTAGAATGTGGATATTACTACTCATAGCTACCATTTGTTATGTACTTACAAAAGGATGGGCACTTTGCATGTATTACTCACAACAGCTCCTCGCAGAGGAGAAACCCAAGACCTGAGGGCTTAAATCCTTTACCAGTGACACCCAGCTCATCAGTGATAAAGCTGGGGTTGTCCACATCTGTCTGACTCCTGAGCCCAAGGAGTCAGCCTCCCACTGCTCTACTCTGTCTCTCCGGATGACATGGGGAAATAGAAAGTAAAGGGGCCTTAAGTGATACTTCAAAGGATATATGACTCAAATCACTGCCAGGGGAGTGGGGGGCAGGCGGAGAAGATGAGGAAGGAGGCATGAAAGCAATACTAGTAGAAGGACTGACACTAAAAACGTCAGTGTTTTTTTCCTGAGCGGTGAGATTACTAAGAGTATGTTTTGTTTTGTTTTGTTTTGTTTTCGCTGTTGCTTTATATGGTCCAACTTTTCTTACTTGGTAGTAAGGCCAATATACTTACTACTTGGTAGAGGCCAGTATAAAATTCTACCCTGAAACAGGAAGCCCAATTTTAAGCTACTATAAACCCATCTGAACAAGTAGTGGAACTAATAATCATGACTGGAGCAAGTTTTCCCCATATTGCATCATTTCTGCAAACCTGCCCTAAAGCTTCTTTATCTTAGACCACTCTGGGCACCAGGACGAGACCTTCCAAGCGGTTTTCTACCCAGTCCAGCCTGAGGACTGAGGTGGGGCAGAAGAGTGAACTCTACTAGGAGACCCATGCTCTACTCCCGGGCTGAGAATACATTAGGCCAATTACTTAATCTCTGTTGGGCTCACTTCCTCTTCTGTCAAATAGGTATAATAAAAACCTACCCTCCCTGCCTTATTAGGGGCTGTAATGACTGATACTAATGGGTATGAAAAATTATAGTTCCGTCCCTAGTGGGGGCAAATCCTGAAGGCAGCCAAGGTCTAGAGAGTATTCCCAGGAGAGTGGTAAGGCCTGCTGGTCCAGAATGAAGAAGGAGAAACACTGCACTGGCTTCTTGGGAGAGTGTATCATGGGGACTCACAGATCCCACCTGCCCCCCTCAGGTCACCCAGCGGGTCCCACCCTCGGAGGGGAGTCTGGTCATGGAGCCTGGGTAACAGCGGGCTTTTTTTTTTTTTTTTAATAATTCTCAAAATGTCTTTATTCATCTTAAATCTAGAAGACACCACTGCTTGCTAAGAGAAAAATTTGGAAGGCATTAAGAAAATAACTATTTTATCAACACTATAAAACCATTCAGGAGGTGTAGATTGTGATCATAAATCTTTTCAGAAAAAAAATTGCAGAAGTCTTGGTTTGATATTTCCCCCTTTTCCTCCCTGGATTTCTCATGCCATTTCTCAGTTTGCAATGTAAGAGGAAACCTTTGACCATATCCATGGCCCTGCCTGCATCTTTCACTAGGGGAAAGGTGTTAGAGCTTTTCTCTGAGTTGTTCATTCACAAAAGGGTCTGGATGCTTTAATTTGGAGCATTTCTTTTTGAGCTGTAGTGTCAGATGGCTTAGAATGCCCTGACACAATTTGATTGCTGGCCACTTTATCCTTAGTCCTTTCCCACAGAGAGGTGGTAAGCAGATGGTCGAGTGTGTCTGCAGACCCCAGAACTCTGCTCTTTGGTACATGTACCTATCTTTTATACAGTATTTGTAGGCGATTATGTTAAAATTGGGGAAGAACTTCTGTGGCTGTCCCTTTTGTAGTAGAGGCACAGATGCCCTTGGTGGTTATGGGATGGAGGATGCACAGCAGCCCGTACTCCAATCATCATCCATGCAGAGGAAATCTGGAGATGTCTGTAGTTCCTTCTTGACCAGCAGTTACAACAGAACAGCGGGGTTTTTTATATAGCTTTTAAGTTGTCTAAAATTTACAGTATATGTCTTAACTTACCATGCTTTACTGTTACGTGCTTCATGTATATGAATTTTTCAACAGTATATTTCCATTTTATCCCTCCCATCCTTTGTGCTATTGTTGCATAAGTTTTAGTTTTATATATGTTATAAATATCACAATACCTTTTATTTAGCCTTTTTTCCTCTCATTGCTTCAGTTTGGATAGTTTCCATTGCTTATTGTTCAAGGTCACTAATCTTCTTTGAGTTAATCCCATACGGTGAAATTTTTATCTCAGTTATTGTATTTTCATTCTCTAGCTGTTCCATTCTGTTCTTTTTTATGTCTTCCATTTCTCTACTCATTATGTCCATGTTTTTCTTTAATTCCTTGAAAATATTTTAAATAGGTGTTTTTAAAGCCTTAATGTTAATTCCATCATCTCTGTCACTTCTGAGTCTGCTTCTATTGACTGATTTTTCTCCTGGTTGTGGGTCACACTTTGCTCCTTTGCATAGCTAGGAATTTTGTATTGGATGCTATGTATTAAAAATATTATATTGTTAAGTGTCTGATTTTGTTGTCCTCATTTAAAGAGTGTTGGACTTTATTCTATCAGGCAATTAAGTTACTTGTGGGTCAGCTTGATGTTTTTGAGTCTAATTTTTAAGCTTTGTCGGGGCAGGTCTAAAGTAGCTTTTACTCTAGGGCCAGTTTAGCCCTACTACTATGGCATGAGCCTTCTAGAGTCTCTGCTGAGTGTCCTCGGTGCTCCACAAGGGCTCTTCACTCTGCCTGGTCAAACTTGCACATCTCCCAGCCTTGGACAAGATGGAAGTGTTCAGCTTTATAAGCTCCATGATGCTTGCTCCTTGCTGAGCTCAGGCAGTCCCACCCTATTCAGCCCAAGACTCAGGGAGATGCCTCTTCATGCATGGGGAGCTTCCTCTCTCTCTGTCTAGTTTTCTCTCTCTGGTGCTTTGCCTCTGGAATCCCAGCTACCTCAGCCTTACTGAACTTCGATCTTTACCTCATCAACTCAGTTAAGACTGCTGTGCTCTGCTTGGGCTCTCCCTCCCTGCATTGAGGGCTGGTAAATGCCTCCAGGTGGAAAGCCATGCCAATCACAGGACTCACTATATTTGTTTCCCTTGTCTCTGGGATCACAGTCTTGTACTGTGTCTGAAACTGCTTGTTTCATATATTTTCTCCAATTTTCTAGTGGAGGCTAGCAATTTCCTTTAAGATCCCTCTGGGGTAGTGCACCAATGATCCACACTGAGTGTATCCTCCCTCCAGAAACTTGTGCGGAAATGGATTTAGGGTTAAAGAAGTCCATGAAAAGTCAGAAGGGTCATTCTGATCTGCTTCTTAGAGAAACCCAGGATAAAGACTCACCACCCAGTATCAAGTCAAATTTTAAAACAAGAATTGTTAGTGTCCATCAACTAGGGGTTGGATAAATAAAATGTGGTATATCCATACAATGGAATATAATTGGGCAATAAAAAGAAATGGAGTATGAAAATGAAAAATGCTGTAACACAATGACTCTTGAAAACATGATGCTAAGTGAAAGAAGCTAGTTATGAAAGACCACATATTGTATGATTCCATTTGTATGATATGTCCAGAATAGGTAGATCTATAGAAATAGAACACAGATTAGTGGTTGCTTACTGAGTGTGGGGGGTGGGGTGGGGAGTGACTACTAATAGGTAGAGGGTTTCTCTTAAGGGAGGACAAAGTGTTCTAAAATTAGACTCTGGTGATCACTGCCCAAGCTCGTGAATGGACTGAAAAACATTGACTTGCACACTTTAAGTGGGTGGATTGTATGGTATGTGAATTATATCTCAGTAAACGGTTTTAAAAAAAGAATTGTGAGCCATTTCCTTCTGTGCTGAAGGTAATGAAGGGATGGAAAGGTGCTGTGGTGGGGTGGAAGAGAAGCCTCAGCTCTTAGATGGATGTATGTACATACTGTAAGTAGTATTCAATCCTGAACTGAAAAAATGTGACCCGTGAGGAGTGTGCACGGTTTTCTTGGGGGAGGCGGTGGCTCTCGTTGGACGTTAGTCTTCGGACCCATTCGCTCCTTAATTACTTCAACCGGAAGAGAATTCTTGCCAAGTTTTCGTTTTATCACCTATTCCCAGCCTTCTCTCCTCTCTGGAACCTGGTCAGCAGTGAGCATGTATTGAGTGACGACTGTCTGCAGGGAGAAGGGACTTTAGGGCACATGGAGCCTTAACCCCTGACCTCGGAGGAACCGGAGAACAGGAGAGCGGAGAGTGTCACATGGCCTCTGGGAACTGTGATGTCACCTTTGTGTCCTCTGTGTCACTGTTCAGAACCACCAGAATAAGGGTGACATGGTAGTCGAATCCCAGCCGAGGATGCAAGAGTAGGCACACTCCTTCTGTGCAGTCTACGGTTCATTTTAAATGAGGCCTCTTACCTTCAAGCAATGTGAGTTTTTTGCGAAAGAAAAATTATTATTCATTTGCAGCCTTCTTGTAGGGGTCTTTTTTTTTAAGATCTTATTTATTTGTTTATTTGAGAGAGAGAGCGAGAGAAAGAGAAGAGGGATAAATAGGCTCCCCGCGGACCCCAGGTCATGACCTGAGCCAAAGGCAAATGCTTAACTGACTGAGCCACCCAGGCGCCCCGCAGGCGTCTTCATCCATATAACTCTAAGTGGAAATTTAGGTTAAGACCCTGAGCTTTGCTTAAAAATACTAACAGCTAACATTTATTGAGTGCTTACTTTGTGCCCCTCCTGTTCGAAGCACTTTAAGGTATAATCACCTTGCCGACTGATATTTCTCTCACTATATATAAGGAATGTAAAAAGACTATGTTTCTTTTTGCCACTATTCTGTTTCTCTGCTAAATTTTCAGTAATTTGGTAGACTCTTCCTTCAGCTCAGGAATTCAGCATCCAGGTCGGACCCAGCCCTCGGCTAGCTAAGCCGGGAGGTCGGCCCCAGAGCCTTCACAGGCCTGGTGCTCTTGGTGCCACGTGAGGACAGTGCACTCATCAGATGTGGTGTGTGTGCTTTTTCTCTAGGATCATCCACGAAGATGGCTTCTCTGGAGAAGACGTGAAACAGTACAAGCCTGTTGTCTACAGCAACACCATCCAGTCCCTGGCAGCTATCGTCCGGGCCATGGACACTTTGGGCATCGAATACGGTGACAAGGAGAGAAAGGTAGGCTGCTGAGCCCATGGGTACCATAAGGAGAGGGCCTGTCCTCTTTAAAATGTCGGCTGCCTTACAGAAGGCTAGTCGCCAACCTGAGCCAGGGCACCAGTCAGCCTGGCAAATCCAGTCAAACGGGCGTAGGTGATGGGCACACCTCCAAAGCAAAGTTGCCAACAAAGACAACAGCCACCAAATGTCAGGGTTTATTTTGCGTATGACAAAGGGTTGGTGATATCCTAAACTGGGACTCCCATGGCATTGTACAAGGACTTGCCTTTGGGCAATTAACTTGAACAGAAGTATTTCTCAAACCAAACGAGCACTACCTGAGCACCATCTCCCCTCCTTAGGAGAGGGTTCCTTGCCTTCTTGGGAGCAGGGTGTAGCCGTTTGATTGTGACTCTTTCCTCCTTTACACCAAGGAATGTGTTGTCTGCCTCTCCCAGGTGGGTCTGAGGACCTAAGGGGCTCTCCTTCCTGCAGGAAGTTGATGTCCTAGAACAGAGACTGTTTTACTTTTTTTTTTTTTTTTAATTTTTTCTTTAAATTCCAGTGAGTTAACATACACCATTAATATTCGTTTCAGGTGTACAATTTAGTGATTCAACACTTACATATGAGGGACTGTTTTTCAGTTGGGTTCCCAGGTGTCTGATAAATGGTGAATGGAGTAAGTGTATAAAAGCCTCTTATTTGCAAACATTTGCATTAACTGTAAGACGGAAGCATATACAGCTACGCTTGGCAAAACTAAATAAAAGAGAGAGGGAAAGAAGGAAAAACAGACTTAGAGAATTCTATCCAGAAGTGGCTCTTTGTCCCCTGGTGGGACTGTGAATCCCAGCAACCCTTTCCCTCTGTCCTGGACGGCAGAGAAGGGGAGCAGACGGGGAGGTCTTTGAGCTCCTGGGCCCCCTCATTGGAGCCTTTGGATAGAGAGAATTCATCTCTGATTACTGTGTGATTCAGTTCTGTGTTGTATACATAGCCTGTCTTTGCTAAAAAAAATCATCTCCCTCACAGAGAAAAACCATCCTTGCCTCTGGGTCTGATGAGGAACCTGTGACCAATAGCTTTAAATGTAAAATTCAATATTTTATACCCAACATTCTAATGCTATGGGGCAGAGTCATCCCAGCTCTGGCATGGGCTGCTTCTCCCCTGAGGGATTTGTTGACGGAGGGTGTGTCCGAGGCCAGCCTGGGCCAGGGAAGCCAGGGCCCCATCATCCACTGCTCCTCTGGGAGGCCAAGTCCAGCAGCTGGTTCTGCAGAGGAAGCTCTTCCCACCCGGGGGACAGGCTTTGGTTTCGGTCACAGAGCCAGGGCCCATGGAAAGAGGGGTACTGCAAGTGCTTGTCTTATTTCCATTAAGTAGAAACTGATGGCTTCTAGCAGGCCAGGCATTGTGCTGGCTGTTGGGGATCCAGGAATGAATGCAGTGGGGGTGGCGCCCCAAGAAACCAGGCATTCAGCACATACCTACTCACATCATCAGAATCAGCCAAGGTGGTTACAGGGCTCCATTCATTTTAATAATAATAATTCTGGTAATAAGGAGGGCTGTCATTTACTGAGCACCTCCTCACTGCCAGGCACTGTGCTAAGCATTTTACATATGTTAAGTCATTTTAAATAACCCTCGGGCATGAAAGCCCAGAGCAGGAAATGGGCCTGGGGCTGTCTTTAGACAAGGACAGACCACGGGCCTCTTGGCCAGAGAGAGAGCAAGGTGCCTGGATCTCTGTTCCCCCAATGACAACTACCGTACACAAGGCATATGTGTCCACAGCACGTACCCTCCACACTTACACACACATACATAGATACATGGCCTGTGAGATCTGCCAGGCGTATATGTGTTCACTGCCATGCCTGCCTCCCAACCATTTCCTTCCTGAAAACTTCCTGCCCTGATTAAAACCCAGAAAAGTCATTATGACTTTGGAATGCTTTCTCCTTCAGTTCTGAAAGCACTACTTCTTCCTGTGGGATTTCAACCCCCGCCTGCCACATACACATTTGATTATCCTGAACAGAGAGGTGATTGCTTGGGAATGGCAAGGAATATGATATATCAAGGACTGTGCTGGGGGCCCCTGGGGCCTCTGTGGCTGTTTCTCTTCTATGAGGTTTCCCCCCTCAAGACAGTCATCAAATAGGAGGCCAGGGAGGGTACCAATACAGAGGGAGACCAGGAACAGAGTGGAGATGCCCGGGAGAGTCCACTGGACATGGTAGCATTGGAGCCCAGTCCTGTTACGGTGGGTGGCACCATGGCAGGTGTCTGACCCATCCCCGGGGCAGCACAGGCTCCTCAGGCACAATCCTCCTGGCTGACAAAGGCCTCCAGGCCCTTGGGCACCTCCTCCCTCTGTTATGTCACCTGTGAGGAGCAGAAAAGTTGACCCAAGACTCAGGCCAAAGTGAGCCAGACAGCTGGGGAAAGTATTTTCTGGAAGCGCACTGGCATGGATTTGCAGTCTGGGAAGCTGAGTGCAGGGACCCCCTATATTAATCTGGATGGGGGTGTAGAGGCAACTACTTCAGACTGAAAGCTTCCCCTGGACCTGGAAGGGACATTTGTGATGAAACTTGACTATGAGAAGGAGCCAGCCATGGGAGCAGATGGTGGACAAAGTTTCCAAATAAGCACCAAGGGCCTGAGAGAGGAGTGAGGCTGGCATGTTAGAAGAGAGAAAGCCTGAACCACACCCTGGGAGAGGGGTGGGGCCCTGGGGTACTGGATGCCTTCCAGTCAGGTCTAACGACAGCCAGCCAGATGGTGCCCAGATGCCCTGACCCCAGGGCTGAGTCTCCAATCTCTTTCTCTTTCCTCTCTCAGGAGTCCAGGAGGGGCCCACCTGGAGGATCTGCTGTTTAGATGTTGTAAAAACTGCCCCATGCAGAGCATATCCAGATTTGTGTTTTGGCCTTGAAAGACCTCCTTTACTCTCTTGGCTTCTCCACCTCTGCCCTCCTCCCCCAACCCATCATGAGATATCTAGAGGAAGACAACCCCACATCCAGAGTCTGCTTGGGCCAGCCAGCTTTGCAATCTCCTTACAAAGAAGCATCTAGAGGCTTCCTTGCTGTACGTCGTTAGAACAGGGGTCCCTGACTTCTCTTGGCAGCTGGCTCATCACCCATCCTGGCCCCCCAGTGGAAGGAAGAGTGACTGGTTTCCCCTTCAGCCTCTCTGGGCATGAGCCCAAGGCTGAAGAAGCCGCTACATGAGGCAAGCAGCAGGGATCCCCTTACATCAGTCTGGGGTTTCCACGTCCCATGCCCCAGCCACGCCAGACCACAGACCCTCTCCCCAAAGACACCACACACTCCTGTGCCTCCAGGCCTTGGCTCAGACCATACCCTCTGCCTCCAGTGCCCTTCTCCCCTTCTCTTCCTCCTGGAATTCCTCCTGTTGAGTGAAGCCCAGCTTAGCTCCCTTCTCTTCCATGAAGGCTTTCTTTTTTTTTTTTTTAAAGATTTTATTTATTTATTTGAGAGAGAGAGAATGAGAGATAGAGAGGGCGAGAGGGAAGAGGGTCAGAGGGAGAAGCAGACTCCCCGCTGAGCAGGGAGCCCGATGTGGGACTCGATCCCGGGACTCCAGGATCATGACCTGAGCCGTAGGCAGTCGCTTAACCAACTGAGCCACCCAGGCGCCCCCCATGAAGGCTTTCTCTTCCAACCCGTTGACAGCAAAACTCACCTCAGGGCTTTCCCTCCATTGAGCACTTACTCATGCACTGGTATGAATATTGGTTATGTTACTCTTTCCTTAAAGCAGCGACCCTTGCGCTCTAGGGTGATCAAAACCCATTTGAGCGGGCGCCTGGGTGGCTCAGTTGGTTAAGCGACTGCCTTCGGCTCAGGTCATGATCCTGGAGTCCCAGGATCGAGTCCCACATCGGGCTCCCTGCTCAGCGGGGAGTCTGCTTCTCCCTCTGACCCTCTTCCCTCTCGTGCTCTCTATCTCTCATTCTCTCTCTCTCAAGTAAATAAATAAAATCTTTAAAAAAAAAAAAAATACCCCATTTGAGCAGCTAATGAAAGCAGAGAGCCTTCTCTCCAGAATGGTGCATACATGCACACATCTGGGAAATTTTGCATACAATCTCAGGGGGCTCTGGCACTCATAAAGCCTGGAATAAGAACTCTTTTGTGATTTCAGGTCCTTCTGCACAAGGCCTGTGTCATTTATCTTTTGGTCCCCTCCTCACCCAAACAACCTGCACAGGGCTCAGAATATAGTAGGCCTTCAAAAAAAGTCCCTTGAATGGAATGACATGTCTAACTTCCTTAGCTGTCAGAGAAAAAAGGAAAAGTATCTGTAATTCATCACTAAATGAGCAGATGTTGATTGAATACCTACTATGGCTAGGCTTTGTGCTAAGTATTCAGAGGTATGTGACACAGAGCCTTTAAGGAGTTGATCTTGTTAAAGTAGATGAACATATGGGAAGGGGGAAAAGAAAAAAAGGAGAGAGGGAAACAAGCCATAAGAGACTCTTAACGACAGGGAACAAACTGAGGGTTGCTGGAGGGAGGTGGGTGGGGGATGGGCAGTAAGGAGGGCACTTGTTGGGATGAGCACTGGGTGTTGTGTGTCAGTGATGAATCACTGAATTCCACTCCTGAAGCCAATATTGCACTGTATGTTAACTGACTAGAATTTGGAAAAAAAGGAGTTGATCTCCTTGGGTAGACAGGGCTCACAAGCTGAATGCGCTCAGCCCTCACAAGGTGGTCGCTGACCTTGAGGCAGGGGTGTGGCTTGACAAGGGCAGATGTGGGTAAGGAAAAGGACTTGGAGCAGGAGGAACAGGAGTAAAGGCAGTGGGTTGGTAGCAACCAAAACAGATCTGAAGGACAGAGGAGGCCAGTGGCCAGAACAGAGGGTTAGGATATGCTAAGGTGTGGGAGAGTTAGAAGGTGCAGTGAGGTCCAGATGGGGTGGGCCTTGGAGGGTGCACTGAGGAGGTTGGGTTTGATCCTGGTGGCAGC